CTGAGTGATAAAAAGCTCTGGAGATAGACTTGAGAGATGCCAACATATTTTTAGATAGTATCTGGGATGGTGGGAAGTGGAGATGGCCCAGAAAGAGGGCCGAAGATGACCCTGGGACCAGCGGGCATCTGAGGTAGGAAAACCTAGAAGTTGCTGTGTTATCAGCCAAGAATATTTGAAGATACTATCCATTGTATCAAGTGCAACTGAGGGGCTGAATGAAAAAACTGAGGGCTTTGGAATGCCCCATGAGAAAGCTACCAGTGGTCCCTGGATGGGCACAGAATCAACACCGGGGTGGATCGTAAAGGTGGTTGGAGGCAAAGAACACACTTGTTACCTTAAAAAGGTTATGTGTGGGGAAGACATAATTGTTCAGGTTCCTATTTTAATCCTACTGATCAATGACTTGCTGAATAATCTTGAGGATTTTGAGTCTTAATTTTTGATATTTAAAACAACTGCTCTTTCTTGTAACTATAAAAAAGCAAAAGCAAAAACAAAAACCCCGGGCAATGTTAAAGCTAATGTAAGCTGAGCATAGACAACTGAAGTTCTAAAATGGAGCAAATTATTCCCCCACCCCGTTCAAGCACTGAAACAAAGGACAGGCTTTGCCAAAATCTTTCCAGTTCTCTAAACTACAAGATTAAGCTCTTTTACACTGAAGCCTGCAACTAAGTATGTCCAAGACCCCCTAACTTGACATACAATAAAAAGCAGCTTCTAACTAGGGTGCAAGATATCTGAAACCTAAAGCATTCTCATGATCACAATGAGTAACCAACTCTACAGTTCGAGAAATTGTTAGAACCCTCAGATCCCTTTCCTTGAGAATATAAGCCTGTGAAATTATCTTTGATCCTATTTGGCATTTTCCTCCCTTCTCAGTTCACTGAACATCACACAGAAATGATTGCCAGAGTACCCCAATACTATATCTGGAGCGGTAGGAAACTGTTATAGGAACGCTGAATGAAGAGGATCCCCGGACATCTTCCATCCTTCACTACAAAGCAAGCCATGGGCTCTGGCTACCTTCATTTATTTTTAGAATATCCAGTTGTTTCACTACACAGAAAGACAGTATATTAATAGGTACACCACAATTGAGAAACAAAACTTGATCAACTGATTTAGACTGCATCAGCCAACCTCTCAGCAAGGGTAACACTTGCCTCTCATTTTCAGCCTTCAAAACAGAACAAGGTAACTACCTCCAAAGACAGGTTAAGACAATACCACTGCTATAGTAGGGATGGGGCCAATTCAGTGAGGAAAGGCTTTGGAATCAGCAAAGTTGGTTTCATTTAAGTTACAAAAGACCTCCTGGCACCTCCACTCACCTGTGAACAGGTTTTTGTTGGTTTGTTTTTAACTTTGCAAAGTTGTTTAAACAATGTTTAAAAGTGCCTGACCCACAGTAGAGGAACTTTTTTAACTTGCTACAGAAAGCACTTGTAATGTAGGGCTAAGAGGCCTAATTTCGAGTGATTCGGTCAGAAAAGAAAATGAGGTGCCGTGGCAAACACTTCTAAGATGTCCCACATGAGCCCCACACCCCACCTCGTGGTGTTCATTGTGTCATCTTCATCTGAATGTTGGCAGGACCCGAGGAGACTTAGACTAACAAACTGGCTCTGGAGACCTGTGGGCTTGATGCAGCAAACAGCCACATCCGAAGAACTGGGTGGCAAGGAACCCAGAAGCCCTGCAGTCAGTTAATGAATCTGGGTTCTCCATCCTGAAGTCACAGGAAATGATTTCTGCCAACAACCCGAGTTTAACTTCACGTTAACTTGGTAACGTCACAGTACTAGATCAGGTGTTGGCAAATCACCTGGACCACTCTAAACCAAATTTAAACCTTAACTAGTATGGGGTGCCTAGATGGCTCTGATGGTCAGGCATCTGCCTTCCACTGGGGTTGTTATCTCAGGGTCCTGGAATCAAACCCCACAGTCAAGCTCCCGGCTCAGCAGGGAGTCAGTTTCTCCCTCCCTGTTCTACGATTCTCTCTCTCTCTCTCCCCCTCTCAAATGAGCAAATAAAACCTTAAAACAAAACAAAACAAAAAAACCCTTAACTGTAGCTTAGAAAGTTTGGCCCACAGGATTCATCTTTCCCAACTAATCACCTGTTCTTAAAACTTTGATATGGGGGCACCTGGGTGGCTCAGTGGGTTAAGCCTCTGCCTTCTGCTCGGGTCATGATCTCATGGTCCTGGGATCAAGCCCCACATTGGGCTCTCTGCTCAGCGGGGAGCCTGCTTCCACCTCTCTCTCTAGCTGTGGTCTCTGTCTCTCTCTATCAAATAAATAAAATCTTTAAAAAAAAAACAACAAAAAAACTTTGATATGGCAGCACCTGAGTGGCTCAAGTCAGTTGAGTGCCTGCCTTCGGCTTCATGACCTCAGGATCCTGGGATCGGGTCCCATGGAGAGCCCCCGCATAGGGTTCCTGCTCAGCAGGAGTCTGCTTCTCCCTCTCCCTCCGCAACCCCCTATACCCCTGCTCTCTCAAGGAAATAAAATCTATTTTTTAAAAGATTTTATTTATTTATTTATTTGACATAGAGAGATCACAAGTAGGCAGAGCAGCAGGCAGAGAGAGAGGAGGAAGCAGGCTCTTGTTTCTGCTGAGCAGAAACAAGATGCAGGGCTCGATCCCAGGACCCTGAGATCATGACCTGAGCTGAAGGCAGAGGCTTAACCCACTGAGCCACCCAGGCGCCCCTCAAATAAATAAAATCTTTAAAAAAAAATAAAGTTGATACGGATCACACCCTTAGATTCCTCATAATTCTGTAAATTATTTTACAGAAGCTTGGAGGCTCACAAAGGCCAAGTGACTCAAATGGCTAATAAAGAGGCAGAGCCAGAAATTAGAGACCATTATCTGACTCCAATGCCAAAATCCACCTTTCCCTATAATGAGTTTTTATAATTTCTTTAAAGTCTCAATGAGGATTCCCACTATGCCAACAGACAGTAACAGTAAAACCACATCATAGACATTAAAACACTGGAGACATTTAAAAAAAAATAACAAGACAAAATAAAAATAAAATACAAAACAGAAGCACAGAAAAGAAATAAGCAAAAAAAAGGAATAAACCAACCACTGGAGAGATTTTGTTCTTCATTATTAAAATCATCTTACCTACTAAAGTTAATTATTGATCGTGTCAGTTACAATGTCTTTTATTTTAAAGTATCTCTCAGTAAAGAGGAGTTTTTTTTCTTCATGGCTTATTATAAAACTTACAGTTAAACTGAGTATCTGGGAAGGCCAAAAACGTTAGTTTTTCTTAACTAAGAACACCTTTTAAACAAAGCCACGAAACAGCTTCTTTTATTTTCTAGTAAGACTAGATTTATTCAATACCCTAAGTAAAAGTTTTGATTATAAGTATCCAACAGTATAAAAAGTACAAAACAGATTTGTAGATTTCTAATATATTAATACAAAGTGCATGACTACATACAGTACATCCTACAGGCAAAGAGGTGGAAGGGGAAAAAGAAGACTGTGGTTGAGGTCTAGTAATAAATAAATAAATACAGAAGTAGAGATGATCCATATTATAGTATATTCTACCACCAACACTGTAGCCAAAATGTACAAAAAAAAAAAAAAAAACCATTTCAAAATAACAGGAGGAAGATGATAATGGCTGGGACTCTTGTAATACACCTCAAAGGCTGTGGGAGAGCCAACCCAACTCACTGTGTAGTCTGTGCATATGGTGGCTTGTAGTTTTTGCCATAAGGAAGAAATATAAAATTTTAAGTTTAGATTAAGAACTATAAAACTATAGGGTGCCCATAAAAAGTGGCTCACTCCTTACTGTTATTTATACTATCCAATTTTAAAAATCCAGTTTTAAAAATAAGCACTGAGTTATGTTACTATAAGGCAGGCAAATGATCCTCCCTTATTATGAAAAGTCTGAACTGGTGGTATGTCCTTCCTGAACGTTTAGAAAAGAGGCAATGAGAGTACTTTGGTTTGGGTTCAAATAAAAGGCTTTCAAAAGAAGACTTTAGAACTGAAGAGCTCCATGTTCAGGATTTATCATCGAGTATCTCAAGGTTCACAATGCCTGACTACAAGAAGCCAAACCTAAACCAACCCACTCAGCATTAACACACACCTCTTTTCTTTTAGTAGAATTTTACTTTAATATAGAGTGAAAAGAAACCCAAAACCCTAATAGGTTAAAACAAGTCAAACAACCACTCTACACAGATAAAACCTTCACAAAGGTCAACTGAAGTAATCCAGAGCTAAAACTGAATTGTGCAGATTTTCAATGAAGTCACCAGTCATGTAACACAAACAAAAAGTCAATTATTTACACACTAGGCAAGCCCTCTAAGAAATGTGCCCCAAGAAGCATTAACCTTTGTTTATTTGTGTGTGCCATCCTGAAGACTTGCACATTTTTTCAGATAATTTAACCTTTTTAATAGAATGTGATCTCTACCATGTGGTAATGCTTTGGTACTATTCCTTTAGGATTGCTCATCCTAAAACTTGACATTTCCCCAGAGGAGCTTTGATTCTGTTTTAGAAGTTTCAGTATAGATTAAAATCTTTATCAAATATCAATATGGAGGGAGGTGACAGAGGATGCAACATATACAGCTAAGTTACCTCTCTGTATATTTAGAAATTACTCCTTCAAGGTATTTGCACCAGAGAGCTCAGTCTGTCCTGCTTCATATTCAGTAGTACAGGTTTGAATCATCAGAACCTTGGCAAGACCTTATTATTGCAAAATTATTAACAACTACCTCTAGGGGCAAGTCCATGTTACTGAGTTATGACAAATTTATTATCATGAAGGAAACAAGTATAGCCAGCCATCTTAAAAAATGCCCCAACCACTGCTTCTCAATATAGAAAGACTAAAACTACATACGTTTATCATACAACAAATCCCATCTCTGTCCCCTGAAATTCCCCTAGTTTCATTCATTAGAAGGGGATTAAGGAAAAAAAAAAAAAGACTTAAAGAGCACTTTACAGCAGCATTCAGCTTTCCTATGAGATACTCAGCATCTTAAATATTATGTACACTTTGTTTTTTCTTTTAGTAAGCTAGACACTGGCTTCAGAGTTTGTGGAACTGGAGAAGTAACAACCCATTCAAAACTACTCTAGAAAGTGTCTTTTGGCAGAATAGCAGGTATCCGAGTTAAAAATAGGAGGGTTTTGTTGCTTTGTTTTCTTTGCAAAATTTAAATCATTTTTGTTCCCCTTCTACCTAAACCTCAGTCACCACTCCTGAGTGGAGATGGGCAGAGGCTCTGGCCCCTGCTCCTCCGGCTTCTCAGCAGCTGTTTTCTTATTGCTGCAGCAAGGCTTGAATAGGTGCGTGTCAATGAGGACTTCCCCAAAACGGCCTTTATAGATAATCCCACAACATATTTTCTGTCTAAAAGAGAAAAATGGGAGAGAAATAGATTAATAAGGTAGAAAACTATTAGTACAAGAAAACAAAGGGGGAAAAAATCTACATCCTTATAACTAAGTACAGGATGAGAGCAAACTTTCCAACTGAAAGGCTCCTAGAGAGACCCCCCCAATTAGCTAAGTTATGTGAATTACCCAGGCCCCTTAAATGTCATAATGGAAGCTTATCAAATATTAAGGGGGTCAGGAGTCATTCTTAGAGACAGCAGTCAGGTTCAGAAGCTGCTCCTAACATTACGAACCGTTTCCTCTAAAAATCACTGACTCTTGGAGGGGAAAAAAAACAAACAGCCATCATAAACAGGCGGAAGCAACTGGTAAATATAATCAAATATACATAAAGCATAAAAAATGACAGTACAACAAAACATCCATGGATCACATAATCTATGGAAAAAAATAATGACGTACCCCTGTATGCCCCTCTCCAATCCCACCCTACTCCATCTCATTCTCTCCGCCTTCATTTTAAGCTTATCACTGCCTTTTTCCTTTACACTTCATAGGTTTACCACATCTGCATCTCAACATATATTGCTTGGTTATCTCCTATTTAAAAGAAACACATATATGGAATCATGTCCTATGCCGCAATTTTTTTTGCTCAACATTGAGGTTCATACCTATTATTAGAGCTTTTATTGTATTTTATGTATAGTATTCTACCAGGTAAACATACCACAATTTATTTATCCACTCTGCTTTTCTGTAACTTCCCCTACTACAAACATGTTACAGGCATCAATGCGCACCTAAATGTTTTCTATATTATGTTGCTGGGATACAGAAATGGAAACATGTTCATGTTGACCTGTAAGTGACAATTATCTATCAATGTGGTTCCCTTGTATTCCTATTTACTTAGGGTTTTATTCTAAACTTTGAAGAAACATTCAAATTTATCAAGCATCTTCAAAGTACTGCTAAGATGATAGGCATTTTCCCCTCCTTTATAAACTGTCAATGTGACAAATTTCTATCAGTTGATTTTTAATGTTTAAACCAATCTTATACCCCTAGAATAAATCTACTCTGGTCATGATATACTCTTTTGGTTTTGAAGTTATGTTAGCCTCATAGAATGCTTGGAGCCTATGCTCTCTTTTACTCATAATCTGAAAAAGCCAATGCAAGATCAGAATTATTTGTTTCTAGAATGTCTGGCAGAACTTGCCTAAATGTACCTGGGGTTTATGGAGGGAAGACTGACCGATGAATCAACTTATTGTAAGACTATACAGGTTTTCTATTTTTTTCTTGAGACAATTTAGGTAAACTTTTTCTATTAATGTATCCACTTCACCTATATGTTCAATTTACTGGCATACAGATGTTTGTAATGTCCTACTGACTTTTAGTGTTTCTGTTTTTTTTTTTTAGATTTTATTTATTTATTTGTCAGAGTGAGGAACAGAGAGAGAACACAAGCAGGGGGAACAGCAGGCAGAGAGAGAAGCAGGCTCCCTGCTGAGCAAGGAGCCCAATGTGGGACTTGATCCCAGAACCCTGGGACCTGAGCTGAAGGCAGATGCTTAACAGACTGAACTACCCAAGAGTCCCTAAAATTTGTTTTATTTATAGCTAATCTCCCTTTTGTTATCCAAGATGCTTATGTGTATTATCTCTCTTTTCTTTATCTGCTTCATCTCTAGTAGTTTTTTTTGGTCAGGTCTTTTTCAAGATCCAACTCTTATCCTTACTGATCCTACTCCCTTTGTTTCTACTCATATCTCCAAGACCTCCTTGCTTTTATTTTTCTTTGTAGTGGGCTTCATTAATCTTTAAACTGGATACATATCACTTCATTTATTTTTAGTCTTTCTTTTCTAAGCATTAAAGACATTAACTTGGGGCGCCTGAGTGGCTGAGTGGCTCAGTCAGCTAAGTGTCTCCAGCTCAGGTCATGATCCTAGGGTCCTGGGATCCAGCCCCATATCAGGGTCCCTGCTCAGTAGGAAGCCTGCTTCTCCCCCTCCTGCTCTCCCTGCTTGTGCACGTGCTCTGTGCTCTCTTACACAAGGTCTCTGTCAAATAAAAAATAAAATCTTAAAATAAATAAATAAAGGCTTTAACTTTCCCTCCACCTCTTTTAAACTTCATACCATATGTTCTGATTCATGCTATTTTTCAGTTACTCTTTATTTATAAAGATTTTCTCATTTATATTATACTTTCTCCTTTGGATTCATGGTTTCTTAATTTACAAATATATAGAGGTTTCCTACTTTCATCTTGTTTTGTTAGGTATATTTCAGTAATTTTTAAGCTTTCTGCCCTCCCCTTTTTGACTCTGGAGGTTTTCACTCTACCTATTCTTTTAGTGGTGACATAGTTCATCTAGTCACAAAGTTATTCAATGTATTTATTCTTAACATTGCAAAGGATGCTAGGATACCTTAACTCCTATCACTTTTATTGTCTAGACTTAAATGATACTGTTGTCTTGTAATTCTTTCTCTGTTTTTACTCCCACAACTACTCTTATTTCAAGCAGTCAGTGTTTGTTTAAATTTACCTAAATGTTTGCTACTTTCTTTACCCTCAGAATTTTAATCTCGGATCTTTTTCTACCTGTAGAACTCTCATGTTTAGGGTCAACTTGGCAGCAAATTCTCAAATTTTTTTCCCAGTCAAAAAGTCTTGGAGCACCTGGGTAACTCAGTGGGTTGAACCTCTGCCTTCAGCTCAGGTCATGATCTCAGGGTCCTGGCCCACATCAGGCTCTCTGCTAGGTGGGGAGCCTGCTTCCCACCCCCGCCTGCCTGCCTCTCTACCTACCTGTAATCTCTGTCAAATAAATAAATAAAATCTTAAAAAAAAAAAAAGTCTTATGCCCTTATTCATAAAAGATAATTTTTTTAAAAGTTCATTTATTTTAAGTAATCTCTATACCCAACGTGGGGCTCAAACTCACAAGCTCAAGATCAAGAGTCGCATGCTCTTCCAACTGAGCCATCCAGGTGCCCCACACAAAGGAAACTTTTGCTACATATAATTCTAGGTTGAGAGTTACTAACCCTTGGTCCATTAAAGATATTAAGCTATTGTTTTTTTACTTCCTTTGTTCATGCTGAGAACTCCGCTTTGTATGTTTGCTGTTCCTTTGAAAATAATGTCTTTTTTCCCTCACTGCTTAAAGATCTGTTTTTTATGTTCCACAGTTTCACTGTAATAAGCCATCTATGGGTGAATTTTCTCTATCATGAGATAAATGCTTATTATCTCACTTTCATTAGTATTCCCAAATCTGTGAAAAAGAAAAATCCTTAAATCACTTTCTCTTTGACTAGTCTTTCCTGGTCTATTCTCTCTTCCTTGACTTTGGGGGTCCCACATTCACTTAGCAGTTTGGTCTCTGATTATTCCTATTAATTTACTTATGAATGCTATTTTTAAAGACTTAAAAAAATATGTATTTCTAGCTTTTACTTTTTTCAGTGAGAGAACTAGTTAGAAAACAGTCACACTAGTCTATTCCATTATAGGAAATTTAGGTTCCCTAATGTGATTTTTATTTTACATCAATTTTAATAGGAAAGCACACAAAATCCCAACTCTCAGCTCAATTCTTGCTTAATCCACCTCCAACCATGTGTGCTACCAGCTGTTTGCCAAATGCCATTTAATTGCTAAGGAAGTGGGAAACCATCGCCTGTAATTAAGAAGGTATGCTGGTTATAGAGATATTTTCTGTTGCTTTTACCTTTTCCAGTATGTGAGATCTAAAAAGGAAAAAACTGGCGTTCTGTTAGAGCCAGAGGCCATCTCTGTATCTGAGCCATCATCTGACTGGTTACTATAGCAAGGAGACTGAGCTGGGGAGGCACTTGAGGTGGTACTGTGAGCATCAGAATCTGTAATAAAGACAAAAAAAAAATGTATAATTTCATTATATGCAACTAAGGCTCAGCATAAAAACTGTGAATGAATTAGTAAAAAGAAAAAAAGAATTTATTTTCTATTTACTACTGGTATTTGAAGACATTTGTACGAAAGTGTTTTTGAAAGAAAATGAGGACTATAAGCCTCCAGGAAGGTAAGAATAGACACCTTGCCCCATTCTTCCTACTAATAAAGTACAACTAAAAACCCTGGATATTACATACAAAACAAACCTAAAGACTCTGAAAGCTGACAACAGTTAGAGAGCTTGACCCAAGGAAAGACGCGGTGGTGAGTTCCCTAGTTTTCATGGGTTTTCTTTTTGCCTCATAAATCCCAGTCTTGAAGACAGAAAAGCCAGCAACCCAGGAATGCCAATAGGTATAGACCACCCCCCTCAAGAAAAAATGCCAACAAAACCCTGATCTTTAAACAAAAGGCCAGGAGGAAGTGGCAGCCTAATAAAGAAAGGAAACTTTTATTAGACAATAATCACTCTATTCAAGCACCACAGAAAAAAGGGGCCCAACTGCACCCACCCCAGCACAGGCCAAGTAGGGAGCCTAAGATTTCTATCTTCATTAAGATTGGTATGAAACCTACAATTCGTATGAAACCTATAACTCCACCACACTGTCAAAGGGAAGCATGTTGAAGAATCAGGACTTTCACCATGGCCCACCAGGAATGAATACCCCTACCATGCGGGAGCTTTAACTTCCACCCCCAAACCACTGCAATGAGGAGCTCCTTCCACCTCAGGTATCAGTGGAGCTGGGTGGGGGGGGCCTGACTTTTAACACCGCTAGGTAGTAACTTTTAACAGTTCTGCTATAGGGGTGTCCAAAAAAGCCAGTAAAATCAAAGGTTTAAATAAGAAGATCCATAACATAATTTTTAAATGTCCAGGTTTCAATTTATTTTTATTTAAATTCAATTAACATATACTGTATTATTAGTTCCAGAGGCAGAATTCAGTGATTTATCAGGTGCATATAACACCCAGTGCTCATTAAAGTGCCCTTATTAATGCCCCATCACCCAGTTACCCATCCTCCCCCCCCCCCCCCCCCCCCCCCCCCCCCCAAGTTTGTTCCCTAGAGTTAAGAGTCTATTAATGGTTTGCCTCACTATTTTCATCTGATTTTATTTTTTCTTTCCTTCCTCTATGTTTTCTGTTTTGTTTCTTAAATTCCACAGGTTTCAATTTAAAAAAATGTCTCAGGGGTGCCTGGGCAGCTCTGCCGGTTAAGTGCCCAACTCATGATTTCCGCTCAGGTCTTGAGCTCAGGGCCATGGGTTTGGATCCCATTTGGGGCTACATCCCAGGCATGGAAACTACTTTTTAAAAAAAAGAAAGAAAGGGGAAAAAAGAGGGGCATCAGGTGGCTCAATCAGTTAAGTGTCTCTTGATTCCAGCTCAGGTTATGATTTCAGGGTCCTGGGATCAAGCCCCATGTCAGGCTCTGTGCTCAGCAGGCAGTCTACTTGAGGACTTCTCTCTCTTTCTCTCTGCCCTTTCCCCTGCTTGTGTGCACTCTCTCTCTCTCAAAGAAATCTTTAAAAAAAAAAAAAAATCCCTCATAGGGGCACCTATGGTAGAACTTAGTTAATAGAGCACTCTACTCTTGATCCTGGGGTCATGACTTCCAAGTTCCATACCCAGGGCACAATTTACTTTAAAAAATAAAAAAAAAATAATTAATTAAGAAAGAAAGAATGAATGAATGAAATAATTTAATAATTTAAAACCCCCATATCCAGAACCAAGAATTTAATAATTTAAAACCCCCCATATCCAGAACCAAGATGTCAAACTTAAAGAAAAGGTAAGCAGATACTAGCACCAAGATGACAGAGATGTTAGAATTAACTGACCAAGATTTTAACAATTATTGACAAAAATGCTTCAGTAAGCTATCATGAACATGACTGAAACAAATGAAAAAAGAGTCTCTGTGAATAGATCTCAGTTTAAAAAATAAACAAAAGCTACAAAGAAGAACGAAGTGGAACTGAAATTTGAACTGGGCGGGGGAGGGGGGAGACAACAAATGAAATAAAAAGCTCAGTGGATGTGCTTAACAGCAGAATGGAGGGGAGAGAAGAAACAATCAATGAACTGGAAAAAAGAACAACAGAAATTACCCAACCTGAACAACACAGACAAAACTGAATAGAGACTTAGAGACCTCTGGGACTATAACCAAAAATCTGCATTTGTGTCACTGCAGTCCTGGAAAGAGAGAGAGGGAGGAGGTGAAAATGTACTCAACGATATATAAAGGCTAAGAATTTGCCAAATTTGGCAAGAGACATAAACCAATATATTCAAGAAGCTGAAAAAAACTCCAAACAGGATGTACTCAAAGCAATCAATACTAAGAATTTAATTTCTTAAAGCTTAAGACAGAGGAAAAAATCTTAAAAGCAACCAAAGAAAAATACCTTACCTATAAAGGAAAAACAACAGATCTTAATTTCAAAAGGCAATTCATTAGATACAAGCTAAACATGATTTATTATTTTTGCCCTTAAAAGACAAGTCGAATTTACAAGCCAGAAAGTAAGCCTTCTGGTTGATGGTCACCATGCTCTAAGGCTTTCATATTGCTATTCTCCAGTGACAACAATTTCACAAATAAGGGCTGAGCTTACCACATTCCCCACTCCCCATAAAGGTGGATAGAGCACTCGCCCAATTCAAAGAACCAAATCTTTTTAAAAAAATTTTTATTTTTTATTGACATATAATGTATTATTAACATATAATGTACATTAACATATAATGTACAGGTCTGTGAATCGCCAAGTTTATACACTTCATAGCACTCACCAAAGCACATACCCTCCCCAGTGTCCATAACCCCACCACCCTCTCCCTACGCCCGGCAACCCTCAGTTTGTTTTGTAAGATTAAGAGTCTCTTATGGGGGCACCTGGGTGGCTCAGTGGGTTAAAGCCTCTGCCTTCGGCTCAGGTCATAATCTCAGGGTCCTGGGATCAAGCCCCACATTGGGTTCTCTGCTCGGCAGGGAGCCTGCTTCCTCCTCTCTCTCTGCCTGCCTCTCTACCTGCTTGTGATCTTTGTCTTTCAAAAAATAAATAAATAAAATCTTTTAAAAAGAGACTCTTATGGTTTGTCTCCCTCCCAATCCCATCTTGTTTCATTTCAAATTAATCGTTTTTAAAGATTTATTTATTTATTTGAGAGAATGAGAGCATGCAAGTGGGGGAAGGGGCATGGGGAGAGGGAGAAAGGGTCTCAAGCAGACTCCGTGCTGATCGTGGAGCCCAACTGGAGCCTCCATCTCCTGACCCTGAGATCACAACCCAAGGAAAAACCAAGAGTCTGACACATATCCCACTGCGCCACCCAGGTGCCCTCCCCAATCAATATTTATTAAGGACATATCTATTACATATCAAACCCCATGTCGTTTCCTACACGGCAAGAAACAGACTGAAAAAAAACCTATGACTAGAGCTTATGGTGCTTTGTATCAACAAAAGTTTATCTACAAAATCCTCAATAGCAGGCTTTAAGAAATAAGTCTCCTGGAATGTTTTTAAAAGGCTTCCCAAACAATTAACAGCAGCAATCAGCTCTACGCTGGCCAAGAAAACTCACATCCTAGGAGTGCTTAATATCTAACAAACATTTGAAGCTGCAGTTTATTAGACCATTTTCTACCCATAAAAATGGCAATTTCATATGGTTTAATCTAACACTTGGGATACTAGAATACAACTAACTATATAAAAATGCTGTAAGGAAGAAAATTCTCTTCTAGAATGCAGGGCTGGAAATTCTTCAAAAAAATTACAATTTTTAAAATCTTAAAAACTGTGGGATTTGAAAAGGCACAAAAGAGTAATTAGTTAGCATGGGGTAGGTAGGGATGATGAGCAAAGTAGTAGAAGCAGAACACACTGTGCACAGAAAGAGAACTGATTCAGGCCAAATATTCTTTGCCTAAAATAGGACTTCCAAGAGGCTCACTATGGATTTTCAACTTTATTCCACAGCAACCAGAATTCACTGTAGATTTTAAGGATTAAAAAAAAAAGAATAACAATTATATAGGAATTTGTTTTGTTTTACAAAACCCTTTTTAACTTGATTATCCCCATTTCTCAGATTAGAACAATATAGTTCAATGTTAAGTACCACAAAGGTCACATATTTGTTAAGTTTCAAGAACAGTAACTCAAAAATCCAGATCTTCAAGCTCTAGGTCTAATGCCTTTCCAGTATACCACACAAAAGAAAGCCTATCTCAGAAATAAAAATAAAGGTCAGGCACATGCAAGATGCATGGAAGCAATATATAACCAGAGGCAGGAACACCATTTAGTGGGTGATGTATATAAATTCGAGTAACTCAAAACTGTGATGTTGCACACAGGTGCTAACAATTCACAATGCACATGGGAAAACCCCATTTCAGTCTAAGCCTACAAAGCCCACACACCTTTTTCAAAGGAACTTATTTTTAGTCTTCAATCCCTCCCTCCACAACAGAGCTTTATACTAAAAATCTAAAATTACACCGGACATATTCCCTTAGGTAAGGCAAAACTGAGTCAGGTATCACTTTCCCCATAATTAAAGGGAGGAGCTGAGAATATACATATGAATAATCAATTCCTTTAACCTTCAAGTGGTAGAAGAAAATTGCTATTTCCCAAATGTTCATTAAAACTTAGTAAGAATGGAGGGTAGAGTTAGTCTTTTGCTTTTCCCCAGGTGATAGCTGATTAAGAAGGGAACATACATAAACAAACAATCCAGTTACAAAATGGACAGAGGACCTTAATACACATTTTTCCCAAAAAAAGAGAAAAAGGACAAAAAATAAGTGTTCATAAGGATGTGAAGAAAAAGGGAACCCTTGTGTACTGCTGATGGGAATGCAAACTGGTACAACCACTGTAGAAAACAGTATGGAGGTTCCCTCAAAAATTTAAAAATAGAAATATGTGATCCAGTAATTCCACTACTGCATATTTACCAAATGAAAATGAAAACACTAATTTGAAAAGATGTAGGCATCCATATGTTTACTGTAGCATTATATACAATGGCCAAGATACGGAAGCAACCCAAGTGTCCATCTATATAAATAAATGAATAAAGATGGGGGGTGGTGGGTGTGCGTGTATGTGCGTGCACTCACACATGCATTACACAACCCTAAAGAATGAGACTTTTTTTTTTTTAAGATTTTTATTTATTTATTTATTTGACAGACAGAGATCACAAGTAGGCAGAGAGGCAAGCAGAGAGAGAGAGAGGGAGAAGCAGGCTCCCCGCCGAGCAGAGAGCCCGATGCAGGGCTCGATCCCAGGACCCTGGGACCATGACCTGAGCCGAAGGCAGAGGCTTTAACCCACTGAGCCACCCAGGTGCCCCAAGAATGAGACTTTTAAAAGAAGGTCTGCAATGATGTAGATAGAGCTACAGAGTATTATACTAACCAAAATAGGTCAGTCAGAGAAAGACAAATACCATATGATTTCACTTATATGTGGAACTTAAGAAATAAAAGAGATGAACATGGGGGTGGGAATGAAGCAAAGCAGAAAACAGACTCTTAACTACAGGGAACAAACTAGGCATTACTTAAGGGTGGTGAGGAGAATGGGCTAAATGGGGGATGGGTATTAAGGAGGGCAGGTATTGGAAGGAGCATTGTTCATTATCATATGTACATATGTATCATATGTAAGTAATAAATCACTAAATTCTACTCCTGAAACTAATATTACACTGTATGTTAACTGGAATTTAAGTCAAAACTTAGAGGAAAAAATGTTTTAAATAAAAGAAAAGAACACATATAATTTAAATATACACATATCTGATAATACCTAAATATTTTACTACAAAGTATTAAAATATTTTAGTCGAAGATTAAATAAATCTATCATCAGAGTAACTATAGACTAGTAACACCTACTTAAAAAAAGCAGAGAGTCAGCAGAAGAACTGCAAAAACTTCAAAGTTGTGAGTATTGATTATACTACCCTAGAGAGCAGGGTGGTATTACTCAAAGAGCACAGGGCTTTGAAGTCAAGACAAACCAGAGGTTGAATTCATCTGTATCATCGTTACTAAGTGACCTGGGTCAAGGTTAAATCACCACTCTACTTCCTATTCTAATCTCTAAGACAAATCATTGAGATGGCTATGTATGTAAAATGCTTGGTACATACACCAAAACGTCCAAGAGATGACAGTTCTCCTTTCCTTACTCTACCTTATCGGTATATTTAACTATCTTTTACCATTATTCTAGAACAAGCACTGGGGCACCTGGGTGGCTCAGTCAGTTAAGCATCTGTCTGTCTTCAGCTGAGGTCATAATCCTGGGGCCTTGGGAAAGAGTCCCACATCGAGATTCTTGCTCAGCAGGGACCCTGCTTCGCCCTCTCCTACTCTCCCTGCTTGTGTTCCCTCTCTTGCTGTCTCCCTCTCTCTTTAAAAAAAAAAAAAAATATATATATATATATATATTTATTTATATATATACATATAAAAGCCCATATTAGTTTGTCATTCCTTTCCCATTCCATCATACATAATACACACTGCCCCAGAAACCTCAAGTCCTGGGGCTAGCTTTATTTTACTGCAATCTGTGAATTATGATTTCTGAAGTTACCTTCCTAAAACCTGGGCCTTAATGTCATACCGTCCACTAATTATTTACATACCTTTTCTGCACATCTCCAGAACTCAATTTCTTTATGCATATAAAACAAGCGAACAAGCTTGAGAAACCACCTTCTAGAAAGTTTCAGATGGTAATAATGAGATCTGAGTGCATTAGAGACCTCAGTGACCTCTGAGGTCAGAGGGGTCTCCACACATTCTGAAGAAGTAGCTGGTCAAAGTACTTTGAGGACATCAAAATTAGAGTTCCACAAGTCCACAGAAATAGCTCTACAGTACACAACACCCTCAAACACGTTTTTAAAATAAATTTAACAAACCTATACATACCATATGCCACCCCCAGACAAAAATAAAAAACAAACAATGATTCCTAAGTACCTATATTTCATATCAAACTTACTGTGACGTTTAAATTCCTTCTGTAGTTTACTGATCTGGTTGCTTTTTATCCTGTTTCCAGATAGAGTTTTCACTTTCTTTGGTTTCAATGTAGTCTTCAGACTGGGTCCTGCCCTTGCATCTACCACCTGGAAGAAAATACTGAATATTTAATACCATTTAAAAAAAATGATACCTCTTGTATTCCTTCAGTTCAGATAAATGCCTATTTGAAGGAGCCAAAATTGAGAACCAGCTTACTCTTAATACTCTAATCAGAGTATTTGAGAGTCCACATGTACTTTTAATCATCACACGGTATTAAAAAATACCATGTACAAAAAATTGAAATAGATTTATATACAGCAAGAATGACCCAAGAGGTTAAAGAAAATCAAGCCTAGTAACAACTAACATTCCTATGAGACAGTGTTTTATGGTTTACAAAAAGCTTTCATACACTTTTGATTTTACCCTCGCTACATAGTAGTAACAGGACTATTTTTGTTACTCCAATTTAGGGTGAAGGAAAATGAGAGAAATTATCTTTTCCTTTATTTCACTAAGCTAGTAAATGGGAAAAAATGGGTAGAGAGGGGTACAAGACTCAAATCAAGGTTTTCACATCTATGCTTTATCCTTTTTTCCATTACATGCTTTAATCCCTGAGGTCACTTACAGGATGGCAATGGTATATTCTCACACCATCTAGCATGGTCACTGGTTCAGCCCTGCGTGGTATCACTTCTCATGAATTGATTCACACTTACTATTTGCACATTTCTACCCTTAAAAAGGTTGCCATCACCTTCAAAATCACAATTTGGATCATCTCTAAATAAAGCTAAAGAAAACGCACTTTGGGACGCCTGGGTGGCTCAGTTGGTTAAGCAGCTGCCTTCGGCTCAGGTCATGATCCTAGCGTCCTGGGATCGAGTCCCACATCGGGCTCCTTGCTCTGCAGGGAGCCTGCTTCTCCCTCTGCCTCTGCCTGCCATTCTGTCTGCCTGTGCTCGCTCACTCTCTCTCCCTCTCTCACAAATAAATAAAATCAAAAAAAAAAAAAAAAAAGAAAACGCACTTTTTTATAAATTTTAAGATTCACAAAAATCTAATAATGTAACATGGTCACCAAACGACAATGCAAGGCTAGTGTCAGGATAAAAGATAAAGAATAAACGCCTGCTTAAAAAAAGATTTTGTATAAATGCCATAAATGTTCTCAAAGCTAGCATACAGAAGAATTAGGGGCACCTGGGTGGCTCAGTGGGTTAAGCCTTCGCCTTCAGCTCAGATCGTGGTCTCAGGGTCCTGGAATCGAGCCCCGCATCAGGCTCTCTGCTCAGCGAGAGCCTGCTTTTCCCCATCCCACTGCCTGCGCCTTCTCTGCCTACTTGTGATCTCTCTCTCTCTCTGTGTCAAATAAATAAATAAAATATTTTTTTAAAAAGAGAGAATTAAATAAGACCTAACAGTGTCGTTCTGGTCACAGAAAACCAGTGACAATGAGCAAATACAACACACATTTACATACCAGTATGACCTCAACTAGATCGAAGTACAGAGAATAACAGCTTCCCCATAATTGATCACTATGTGTTAGACTTTATACATATAATCTCATTCGGTTCTCACAAGAGCTATAAGGATAGCTATTATCCTTGCACTTTATAAGTAAATGTAACTTGCCCAGAGTTCACAATTAGTAAGTGGTAATGGCAGGATTCAAATCCAGTTAATTCTAAACCCTACTGTGCTCATGATGGTACCACAGTGAGTTAGGATAAACGTTATCCTAAGAGTTTAAAAACAACCCGTGTCTAATTAACTGGAGGAATGTATTAAACCTAAAATACGAGAATGTACACAGTGAATCTCCAGAATGAGGATACTGGATACAGCCTTAGAGAAATGTTACACCAAGCTATTCTGCTTCTAAAAATGCCAAAATGTTAAGTAATTATATCTGAGCAGTAACTGGTGTTTTTTCTTTAGTTTTTCCACTTACCATCTGAGGGACATACTATTTCCTAAATTAGGGGGAAAACTAATGTTACTTTAAAAGCATAACTGAGAAAGACAAAAGATGAACTAACATGATTCCAGTTTTTTTTTGATCCTGCTGGCAATTTCTTCCATCTTTTCACAAGCAGGACACAGGCATTACAGATGTCTCCTGAACGAGTCTCATGCAACCTGATAAGAAAACAACCAAACCTTTGTTAGTTTCATCATTTACATTAAAGAAGTCATGCAGGGGCACCTGGCTGGCTCAGTTGGTAGAGCATAGAACTTTTGCTCTCTAGGTTATAAGTTCGAGCCCACATTGGGTAGAGCGATTACTTAAAAAATAAAATGTTGGGGAGGGAGGGAAAAATTCATGCAATTACATTTCTTTTAGAAAAAAATACACCCAATTATACTTTATAGATGTAATTTCTAATTGTCCTGGGTGATCCAGTTCCATTGTTACATTTTATAAATATTAATTAACTCCTTGATCCAATGAACCATTCATTCTATGTACTGCAATTTGGTCATTCTAAAATAACATTTTAAAAGTTAAGTAATAGTAAAATTTAAGACCTAGAGGAGATTCTGGTCACCATGGTTTCAAACAATGTAGTCCAATTAATCTTTTTCAAGTGTGTAGGTACTTCCACAAACAACAAAATGCCACCTTTTAAGTAAACTAATGTATCACAATATTCTAGTTTTAGACACATAACTGGAGGCACTGTAGTTTTTTCAAAATGACTGCATCTGCATGGTGGCGGGGGGAATCTATAGGACTAGTCACCAAGCTCTTTTTAAATTCTGTCTTTGAAGAACTTTCATTTAGTGCACTATTATAAATACATACAAAAAAATACTGGTAACGTTTATCGTGTATACCACTGGAAACATTAGGAGAAAAATGTAATTTAAAAAGGCAAGGTCAGAAGAAACTCTTTGACAACCTTCAAAATAATTACAAAATCCAGGATTTACAAATAAAAATTCAACAAGTATTTTGATAAAAAAAGAGAAGTGGTAAAAATAACTTCTAACATGGGAAATGGTTCAACAGTGAGTATTTTATCCAAGCACTTGTCAGAAAGTAAATTCCATTTTATTAACCAGAGGTTTATTTTCAAGAGATAAATGAGGGGCACCCCGATGGCTCAGTCAGTTGAAATCCAACTCTTCTTTTTTTTATTTTAAAGATTTTATTTATTTATTTGACAGAGTGAGAGAGGGAGAGGGAATACAGGCAGGGGGAGCGGGAGAGGGAGAAGCAGGCTCCATGCTGAGCAGAGAGCCCGATGCGGGGCTCGATCCCAGGACCCCAAGACCATGACCTGAACAGAAGGCAGATACCTAATGACTAAGCCATCCAGGCAACCGTGAAATCCAACTCTTAATTTCGGCTCAGGTCATGATCTCAGGGCTGCAGGATGGAGTCCCACCAACTGCGTGCGCTCAGTGGGGAGTCTCCTAGAGAGATCCTCTCTTCCCCTCCCTCAAAATAAATAAAGAAATCTTAAAAAAAAAAAAAAGATAAATGAAGAACAGAATCATAAAATGAAACATACCCCGACAGACTTCAGGGCAGAACATTAAGTCCTGTTATTATCCACACGAGGCTGAGTTAAAATACATTTCCATAATTTAGAAAAACAACACAAAGAACAGAAAACTCGGAGAACAACCACTATTAAGAGAAAATAAGAGTAAAGTCTCTCTATATATCTTGAAGTTAAAAACGAGAGTTTGTTTGGTATAACTAAGGGGCTTCCGATTTGGTAGTTCCTTATAATCTGGAAAAGAGTAAGTGGTATTGTTTGATCCGTTTTCAAAGCAAGAACCTTAAAATAGCCTAGATGAGAATGCAGTGATTTAATTTATTAGCACATTACTCCAACTGCCTGCCTTGCTCGGAAATATTTCGTAAGCTGTGATCTTTTTCACCTTAAGAATGGTAAAAACATCAGATGATCTTACCCAAAACAGCTCTGAAAGTCCTTTTCATAGCGTTTACTGTCAGTGAATCGAGAACTGGAGGACTTCGCTCTGCAAATACAGCAGCCCTCTATACTTCGGTACATCTTTGGCTTGTGAAAACCAAACATCTTTTCTTCTGGGCAATAGTCTGTAAAGCCAAGGGAATTGACACAGCTTTGTTGAGGGCTGTAACAAGGAACCATTAAAAGAGAGTTCTCTGCTCCACCCCACCCCCAACAACTTGATAGTACATGACCAAGCCAGACAGGAGGGCTCTGGGGAAGACCTCCTCGATCTACCTCCATTCTTGGCACTAGCATGCATGGCAAGTGTATAAAACACAGAGAATACATTATACGTTAATTAGAAAAAAAACTGAAGGAAAAAAAAAACACCACACAAAATAGCTCAGTTATTTAACAAGGCCTCTACAACACCTCCTTTTACCCTCTTGGCAACACTCATTCCAAAAATGAGGGGAGGGAAGCATTTTTTAAAAATCAACTTTTAAGTAGAAAATATAATAAACTCTCCCCACTATAAAATGATGGAATCCTACACAATGAAGGACACATCCTAAAATTTAAGGTAAGGCACCCGCCCTTCTGTTTTGCGCCTTTGCATGTATATGATTCCCTGCTGGGGAAGTTTTGAGCATTTACCATGACCACTATTTGATACTAAGAACACAAGTAGCTCAATATGCATCAACCCACAATACTCTGCCCTATGGGAAGTTAAAGGGGATTTCTTCTGTGATAAATGGGAAGTTCTAAGCCAGCAAGTTGACTCTGAATTCAAACTACTGCAAGGAGGATGTAAAATTCACAAAAATCCAGGGTCAGGATTCAAGAATAATAATTTTATAAATTATTAAGATTAATTAAAAACAAGCTCATATTTCCCGACAGCTCTTCTATGAAGACCTGTCCCTGAGAGCAGTAATAAATACTGAGAGGCAGAAGTCCAAGAAATGCAGGTGAGATAAACTGTGATTCTCATGATGAAAAACATCTCAGTATCAAGCAAGGAAGAAAGGAACAGCTCTAGAGCTTACATGTAGCAAAAATGTAGCTGGCAGTAAATACCCACCTTAGAAGAAATTTAGAATACCCAAACCAAGAGACAGTTTCACCAGAACATCTGGTGTTCTTTTATGGTGTCTCATCAGAGAGAGACTAAAAAGTCAATGAATATAGAAACTAAATCCCAATGGGCAAGTGTTAAGAATCCAACTACAAATCACAAAAGCATCACATACAGTATCAATAAGAAAAACATTATTAATACCAAGTAGACTGGTACCCATAGTTTTAGGAGTCATAACCACAGAACACCATCCTTTTAAAGCTCTTTTAGATACACACTGAAATAAATAGGAGTAAAACAACAACTTTGGTATGTCTTTGGATGATCTGTCTGATCCCCATTCCATCTCAATTCTGGTTAGTACACCAGAGGAAGTATTTACAAAAGCAATTCACAGAAATAATCAAATAACCCATGCTGTGTTATGTGTCTGAGATTGAGGGATTCTGAAATACGGACAGAAAATTTAGGATTTATTTTTTTTTAATTTTATTAGCAAACAACTAAACACTCAAGTTTTCCTTTTAAAAATGGGCTATTATTTATCAAGTGTTCTTTTTTTTTTTTTAAGATTTTATTTATTTATTTGACAGACAGAGATCACAAGTAGGCAGAGAGAGAGAGGAGGAAGCAGGCTCCCCGCTGAGCAGAGAGCCCGATGCGGGGCTTGATCCCAGGACCCTGGGATCATGACCTGAGCCAAAAGCAGAGGCTTTAACCCACTGAGCCACCCAGGCGCCCCTCAAGTGTTCTTCTTAAATGTTTTTGTTGGTGGGGGAGGCAGGCAAAGAAGGGAGATGGGGGCCAGGCAGAAGGCCACTGATGCACTTCAATAATTAAGCCTAAACAGTTATTTCAGGGTGGCTGGGTAGCTCAGTGGGTTAAAGCCTCCGCCTTCAGCTCTGGTCATGATCCCAGGGTCCTGGGATCAAGCCTCATGTCGGGCTCTCTGCTCAGCAAGGAGCCTGCTTCCTCCCCTCTGCCTGCCTCTCTGCCTACTTGTGATCTCTGTCAAATAAGTAAATAAAATCTTTGAAAAAAAAAAATAAACAGTTATTTCAATTTAAGAATTGTTAAAACAAGAAAACAAAATATCCTTAGTTGATTATTTTTGTTAAATGAAGCACTTGGGAATTTTTTTTTTTTGAGAGGAAAAAAACGAGGAAAATACTCTACACAGTAGGAAGAGGTGTAGTACGGCCTGTGAAATGAGATACAGATTTTTCTCCAAATAACAAGCCCAAATGATAAATGAAAAGAAATGTCCTGAGGGGTGTCTGGGTGGCTCAGTCAGTTAGGCTCTGCCTTCACCTCAGGTCATGATCCCAGGGTCCTGGGATTGAGCCCAGCATTGGGCTCTCTGCTCTGCTCAGCTCAGAGGAGAGCCTTTTTCTCCCTCTCTTACTCCCCCTGCTTGTGCTCTCTTGCACTCTCTGTCAAATAAATAAAATCTTCAAAAGAAAGAGAGAGAGAAGGAAAGAAAGAATGAATGAATGAATAAAAGAAAATGTCCTAAAGAAAATGATGGTATATTCCTCGGTTTTGAGACAAAAATGTTACGTGACTCTTTCCAGCTCTCACAACTAACCTGTGGGTTCTCCAAACTCCACTAACATTCTCCATTACCATCAAGGTCAAAAGTCCACACTTCCTCTTACAGTGGCCAGCTTCATCAATAGCTCTAGGAAACTTCAGCCTCCCTTCTTAGCAAGGACAAAGGAAGTACAGCAAGAAAGGCCAGTTCATTCCCTTAATACACAGACCAAATCCTATTACAACAGATTCCTACCTCTCCACTCACAATCCCCTTCCCTCTCCACAAATAAACATGCCATCAAAACCATACAGCATTCGGATCATCTCCAAGATAGCATCTACCTTCACCAAGGCTGGATTTGACCAAGAAACACAGTTTGTGCCAGTTACTGCATGGGCAAGCTTTTAAGGAATGTTAGAGTTATAGCTAAATACTGAGGCCTTCCGTTTTATAAGCAGCTATTGTGAATCAAGTGTTCATCTTCAATATGATTTTTTTGTTGGTGGGGATCTCCACAAAACTTACCCAACAGTCCCCACAAGACATCCCATTCTTCAGACTGAGTAATATTTTTTTAGGAACTGGGGAAAATAAAATAGCCTGATATCTTCTGACTGACAATCCTTTACACAGCTCTGAAATCTTATGTTCATCCTGATAAAATCCTGCTTCAGTGTCTGAGAGGGGTGTCCCTGCTTTTCTGGGCAGCGCTAAATGCAGTAAGGTGCAAGGCACCCGCCTGCCCCGACACACAGGAGGTGTATGAACCTTTTAATGGATTACTTAAACCTATTAAACCTTTTCTGAGCTTATTCCTGCACTTGGGAGGCACCTGAAATCTGCAGCAAATACACAGGGGTTTCATTTTGGGCTTTGTTTACAGCAACCCAGTTAAGCAGTGGTTGGTGTTTAACCATTTTGCGCTTTGGGGAGCCCAGAAATTAATGAAAGCATTTTCACAGAATCTAGAGACCCACTAATGTTTTAAAAAACAAAACAGAACAAAACAAAAAACAACCCTATAAAACCTACCCACTGTCTGGAGGAAGAGGACAAAAAATGGCTCTAAAACCAACTTATTTTTTGTATTTATAGAGAAGGTGGTAGGTAGGTGTAACACAACTAGATTTTAAACCTGGAATTTCTGTTATTTCAACAAACCTGGTGGTTCTTTAGAATATTTCTTTCCTAGAATATTCCTAGAAATTTCCTAGGATATTCTTTCCTAGTCCCACATTTGTGCAATATTAAATGATTCCTCCAGAACAATTTATTTTATTTGTTCAAATGACACTGTAAGCTATTAAACTATTTGTGACTTTTGCATCTATTCTCACAGGAGTCACATCATTCCACACTGTTTTCACAGACGGAAGCTAATACCATCTGCTTCCTAATTGATGAATAATTACAGAAGAGAGTGGACACCATACAATCTTGCTCTTAAGTGTGTGGGGAAAGCAGAAGAAAATTAAGCTTTGAGATAAAGCCAAAAATCAGGAAAAGATTTAAAATGCTTATTAAAAGCTGCCATTTGTCTTCTAAAATTAGAACAATGGTGATGGTTGCAGAATTCTGTAAACATACTAAAAACCACTGACTTGTTCACTTTTAAAGAGTGAATTTTACAGTGTGTGAATTATATCTCAAAAAGCTTGTTTTAAAAATGAAAACAGACTGGGTTAGGAATTCTGTCTTTGTATATCTTTGTAACCTCAGCCTTTAAATAATCCCCGTCACTTAATAGGTACTCAATAAATGTGATTAAACTTTTTTAACAAGTTGCTATGTTTTTTTTTTAAAGTTGTTGTTTATACAGCATCTCATGTTTCATAAGGCACTTTCATTAACATTATTTCTTTGGCTGCTGTCAGCCAAACAGCCACAAATTTTTACTGTTCTATCCAACTTAATTCAATCTCCCAAAGTTAAAAAGATTAAAGTTAACAGTTAAGTCAGCAAAAACCATAAGAGAAATAAGTTTAACTATATAGGCAAAATATCACAGACAACAAAAAGTGAATTTTTAAAAAATGCAACAATTAATTCTAAACATCTGATTAATTTCTGGGTTTTTTTTCCACTTTAAAGTTGCACAATTCATATAAATCCAATGATCAAATTAATTAAAAGATGGGGAATGCAACCTTAGTGTTAACACAAGGAAAGGGTGGGGTCAATGCTGTATGTCAAGGATACAAAAGGACCAATTCTATTCTTTATTTATTTATCAAGTAATCTCTGTGCCCTACATGGGGCCCAAACTCAACCCGGAGATCAAGAGTCCAATACTCAACTAACTGACTGAGTCAGCCTGAAGCCCCATCAAAAGGACCAATTATAATCTAATCTAACAAGATTACAAAGCCAAAGAGCAGGGATGGTATCTATTTTATACGTAATTCAACATGCAGAAGGTAAGTACATTGAGTACAACATAATATAAATGGGAAAGAAAAGGAAGCTTTACAGCAATAGCTAATACTGAAGGGATGCTATTTAAGAAAAAGTTTTCTGATAAA